TTTCTATGGAAATTGGACTTACACTACTTTCATAATCAATGATTATGCAATTTCATTTACCGATCAATTTTAAATTGTACAAAACATGGAAATTTTTTAAGAAATTAAACACGGACTAATTATACATAAAAAATTTACATTAAATTAAACACGAATTACGTGATATCTTATTTTTTTCAAAAATGGACTTATACCACTTTCAAAATAAACGGTCCAATTATATTGAATCAGTTTTTTACCAGTTATACTATTTGATATTATTATCATTTTTATCATTTTTATCATTTTTATAGGACCGGATTATACAATTTCAGTTTTATGATATAAAAAAAATGATTAGAAATCTTAAATATTACAAAATAATACTTTTGATAACATTCAACAAGTTTTATGGTAGATTTAATAAAAGCAAATAAAATTAGATCTTAAACTTACCTATCGCGAGCAGGTAAAACACCAGGTATACCAGCACGTAAGGCACGTTGAAGAGCAGGATCACGAGCAGTAAGATTTCCAAATATATCTTGCCGATGTGCTATCTGAGCTTGATAAGCAGCTATTAGAGCAGCTGCTTGTTCTGCTCGATACTTCCGGGCAAGCAGGAAACGCATAATATATTCGTCCGTACAATAGTTCAAGTCTAGAACAAGTCAATAATGATAGGTTGAAACACACATATATATATATATTTAATATATATAAATTTAAAAGAGAAGAGAAAAAAAATATGAAAAGGATTATAAAGGGACGGGGTCATTGTTATGCTCAAGGCGAAACGGGAAACAGTTTGAATACGGACGCGGAATTATATCGGGCAGGAAGGCACGAACCAGACTTCACCGGAAATTCGAAGCTTTTCAAGTTAGTCACTAACTATTCTTCTAAAATATATTCTTTGTTTATTTGTACATTATTATTATTTGATTGGCCAAGAAGGGTTGTTCATATTTTGTAATATATAAAATATTTAACTATTAATATATTGCCAAAATGTTTTAATAAAACGTGATAGTGTTATCTATTTAGGTATAAAATACAAATATATTAAGTCCAAAATATTAATGTTGCTCGTTTAATTATTAATATATTACAAAATGTTTTAATATAAAATGCAATACAATATGTGGGTTATTTATTTAGATATAAAATACTAAACATATTGAGTAAAAAATATTAATACTGCTTTGTTTAATTATAAATATTTATTGAAAATGTATTTTAATTTAAAATATAATAAAGAGTCTCTATATTATTTATTTAGATATAATAAAAATGACTACGTAACTTATTGACCAACCCAATATATATTTTCGCGTATATGAAGTTGAATGTAGTATACAAAAATGTTCTTACCCACATCCGGCATCTCTCGAAGGATCGCTCGAACCGATTTAATGGCCAGCTTTTTGTCTCGCTTGTCCAACCTCACATCTTCTTGGTAAATGCTCCGAGAAAGCGTTGTACTTGCGTGACCACTCGGTGCCCACATATATTCGCAATACTCCGACATGTTTTCAAATATTATTCCCTCTTTTCTTCTTCAATTAAACAAGAGGAATTAATCCTGAAAGAACAAAAAAAAAACACAAAAATAACATAGATACGATTTTACACATCTATCTTAAATAATAATATCAATCGTTTAATAATTATTGTTATTTATTATTTCTATATTAACTATCGTAATATTCGTAATACGAAATTCGAGTACACCGATCGAATTACATTGTCCGAATCTGATCGCTGAACGCTCTTAGCTAACCGAGTAAATTTTTTATTTAGAAATAAAATTCTGATAAATGTTGACTTAAAAGATCAGTGTGTCTACAAACGCACCCATGAGTAAATAAACTCTAACTCGAGTAATCGCGATTTATCATTTTTATATTATTTCTTTTTTCCTGTTTATGGGTTTTTCTTCTTTTCTTTTTCAAAATCATTAAAAAAATATTTACGTGACTTTCCCAGGAAAGTTACGGCAAATAGAAGAAACTTAAGAAAATTATATCAAATGATTAATCATAACTGTTATTCGTATCTCGTAGGATAAGACGGTTACTCATTATATCAACTAAAATGCATTAACCTAAATAATGAGAATATCGCGTCTTCCCCCTAACCCCCCCTTCCGCCCCCATCCCCTTTCATTTCTTTCTTCAAAAGGTGCATGAATTCTACGATGATTCATCCAAGTCAAGGACCAAAGATCTTCAAGTTTTACCAGGTTGAAAAAAGAATGCTAATGAAAGGATATAAAATCGATGGATCTATCGATCGATTCAAGTAGATCAGTGACCAATATACTCCTTCAACTTTCTAAGAGAATGAGTCATCGTCGAAGAAGGCGAATCACCTCAGGAATCAACTACTCCTTTCGATAGAAAAAACTCTTTTGATCAATTACAACCATCGAAAGTCATTCCAAACCGTTAGATTACAGTCGATTACAACACCCGTTACACATAAACATTCGTGGATCGGAATCTTATGACATTATCCGAGTCATTTCCGCGATTATATTTCAATGTTTGCAACGATTGCATAATTAAAAAAACTCATAACAAGACAAATAAGACATAAGAGAAGAAGAAAAAGAATAAGAAGAAAAAAAGGAACTGAAGAAACGGAGGTAATTATAATGAACGTGTCGTATCAATTATTGTTAATAAATAATTCGTTAACTCGCACACAAATCTCACTAGAATTTACACAGCAGACACCACCAAGATCGATTAAAATGTACACTAAAAAACTGTTCAATTAAATTTCATTATTAATTGAAATACTTGCGTATACCTCTCAATCAATCTTCTCGGATGATAATTATTAAAAATCCAAGGACGATGGTAGAAAATGAAGAAAGATGAATTATGATAAAACAAAGATGACAGTAAGGATCTCAGAGATCGAACGTGCAAAAGGTAAGCTCGATCAGCGACTGACAGGTCGCCGATAAAATCGCATGCTAGTGGTCGTTGTTCACCAGAGTTATAGAGTGTAGCTCTTGTGAAATATGAAAGACCGGGATAAAAAGAGAGAGAGAGAGAGAGAGAAGGAGTTTTATAAATGTGTGTGTATATATGTATGTATGGAGTGAGAAGGAAAGGAAGGATTTTCAGTTGAGTTGTAAAAGATAGAAGAAGACAAGAAGAAGCCGGTTACCTGTAAGAGGGAGAAACATCGGCCAAAAGAGTAAAACAAGGACAGGATAAGCCGGTTACCAATGAGAATGTGTAATTGTAAATATGTATGTGTTGTGTGTTGTGTATATGAGAAAGAAAGAAAGAGAAGGGAATATGGAGGATGAGGAAAAGAGAGTGGGAAAAATGGAAGCTGACTCACCAACTTTCTGCTCGTTGCGCCGCTATTGTGAACCCGTTCTCCGAAAAATTCAACAACGTACATCGCTGTGGTACATTGGCGTCGACAGAAAGAGAGAGCCTACTGTATTCGAGTACTTACTTTTATCTCTTATATGTATGTATTACGTTTATGTGTATTTGTGGAGATTCATCAAGGCAGGTGTAAGAAAAATGATCAGAAGGAATCATTTTGGTGAGCAAGACATAACATCCAATTTTTTAAATTGGGATACAGTTGGTTTCTCGAATTTATTTCTTATTTATTCGTCGAAATTATATTGGCATCAAGAAAGAACCATTTTTGGTGGACAATTAACATCGAATGATTCTTTTTTTAGATTGGAATACAGTTGGTTTCATGATTTTACTTTTTATTTACAAAATATGTTAATGCAATTGATCGAAATTATATTGTCATCAAGAAAGAACCATTTTTGGTGAACAATTAATATCGAATGATTTTTTTTTAGATTGGAATACAGTTGGTTTTATGATTTTATTTGTTATTTACGACACATGTTAGTACAATTGATCAAAATTACATTCGCATAGAATTCGAAATGTTCGAATAATATTTATAAATGAAATTTTATTTTATTCTGATACTTGTGGAATGTTAAATTGTTTTTAATGTGTTAATAAACTTGTTTTATCGATAAAATGCAACAAAGAAAACATACGGCATAGATGGTGTATATCTGGTAGTACGTAAAAACGTGAAGTATTTATCTTTGTGCGAATAACGAAGAAAATATATCACTCGAACAATAAACGTTTTTAAAAAAAAGAGAGAAAGAGAATATGTTATTTACGAATGTGTTCAATAGTCACGTATTGCAAATTAGTCGATTGAAATACGTGCAATTATGCTGAGTTAATGAGACTATTTTAAAATTCTACGTACATTATAAATTATTTTTAACTAAAACGTTTTTTTTATGTCTTCTTATTTTTTGTTTTTAACTATTTACGATTAAAAACTAAAAAACTAACTTAATGGATTAAATCATAATGCATAAATATAATACATTTATCATCTTTAGAATCCCATATATAAAAATATATTACTCATAAATGTAAAATGTACTCGACATATCGATTTAAATTGATTTATAGGTAAACATACATACATTTGTAATTCAGATTATTTGGTTGATAAATTACGACCATCATAAAATAAGAATTGTTTACAAGCCTTTCAATTTGTAATAACACCAATGGATTTTGAGATGAATATTAACCATCGGTTTGAGATTATTGCATCTTTTGTAATACTTCAAGGACGAAACTCGGCGATATATCGAATGACACACGGATCGATATTTTCGAACGCGTTCTCTTTGAGATACATTCGTGATACCTTTATAGAAAATATCTATTAGAATTTTGCAATGGAAAATGTTTCTTTTGCGAATAAATTTAATTTAATCAAATGTAGTTTGAAACTATTTCCAGTTTTTTTCCTTCTTTATGGTTAATTTATTTTTAGTTATGCACTTATTGAGAAATAATGTTATTTAAAATGGAATGGAAAAACGAGTTGGTACAACGCATTGATACATGCGTAATTCGTGTTTACAAGTTGCGTGGTAGCGAAGCAAACCGTAACATACAACATCATCGAGGACGCAGGTTACGTAATATGACGCCCAAGAAACGAACTGGTAAAACGAAATGAAAAAAATTCCCTGCCAATCTTTTTTCTCTCTGCCATATCCAAGGATATTCGATTAATCCTACAAACGTAATATCGGATTACCTTATTGGCTTAAAAATATATGTCTAGTTTGCACGTTGCAAACAAGGTCAAAAATGTCTACTTGCTACTTTTTTATTCGTTAATTATTCATTTTTGTTTAATCACAGGATAGTTTTAGACAATTAACTGCAAAATCAATGGCATTTCAATTGACTACAATGGAACTAGCAAAGATACCAGAAACTTTTGACTCATACTTTATCTCCCTCTTTATCTCTCTCTCTCTCTCTCTCTCTCTCTCAAAGTTCCTATTAATAATATTAATTTATTATATTGCCAAAATATTAAAATGTAATTTTATTGTTTACTATTGTTAAGTCATATCTTGAAGATAATGGAAGAGTTATAGTGTTGAACCATGCTAACGTGTTGTCAGCAGTTCAAGTTGGAATTCCTTTTGAGGACGTTTCCATGACGAAAAGTTCGAACGAAACCGATTATCGATTTATCACTGGCTTATCATTTGCAAAGCTGAAATAACCTAGGACAAGCTTATCGGTTTTCTATCTTTTTCCCTTCTTTCTTTCTATTTTCTTTTCTTTTTCTTTTTCTTTTTTTTATCGATTGAAATAAAAAAAGACACAATTAACATAATATGAAGTTCATGTCAATTTACCAGACGTTTCATATTTACCCAACGAGGAGAGATCTTATAAATATCGTTTATTTTCATTCGTATAAAAAAGAAAATTATTTTAAATTTAATTTGTGTGAAAAATAAAAACATTAAAAAAGCTTGAAAAAAAATCTTTAATGAAAAAGGATAAATATTGTAATAAAGTCTTTGTCAATGTTAACTGGAAGATCAATGACATTTAAATTGACCATAATGGAGTCCACAGTGATACCGAAAACATTACATCTCAAGAACGAATAATCAAATAAATTTATAAAGTTGAAGGGTATTTAAAAATATTATTTTATCAGTGTTTTATTTATGTTAAGAACCGTTTGCTTAAAATACATTCACCAATTGGTATATCGAAATGTATGTGAAACAATAAATAATTGTTAAAACCATCATACAGTTGTCAATTAATTTTTGACATTGAGAAAAGAAAAATGTATCATTTGGTCTCTAAATCATTTAATTCGTTTACAATATAAATAAACAAAAGAAAAAAAATATATGTCTGCAAAGCGAGAAAAAAGATAATACACTACAAATACAAAGAAACATTTAATTGTAAGTATCGAATTGAAACAAAAACAATACTAACGTATTCAAACATGTAAAAATAATTCGAAATTTCTTACCAAGTATTGCTAAATAAATTCTTTTCAATATCGTAACACGTAAAACACAAAAATTGCACTTTGTTTTTGTAAGTATAGCATAAATAAAAAAATAAAAAGAAAAATAAATGAGATCCTTCGTATTATTCCTTTAGTGGTTAATGTTTTTGTTTAATAGGAAGACTATGATATTTTGTAGTTGCGCGAATTGTTGCGCTCGAATTGGTTCGAATTACTTCGAACCAACTTGTCGAGGAAACAGTCCAGCGCGAAACTGACAGTTCGAAACAGTCAACCCGGTAACCGACCTGTGGACTATGAACGAAGGCGCCACTTTATGGATTCCCCGAACATTCATCAGGACTGTGACTTTGTATAGTCAGTTGGTACCGAATAACAACGAGTGTAACTTGAAAGAAAGGTGCCCTGTTCTCTTTTCTTACCAGCAATTAATCAATCTTTTCGATTCACTAATAAATTTGCCATTACTTTTGTCATATTTTTTCGAGTCATTATTTTTATTATCTTATAAACATTTTATCTCTCTAAATAATTATTACAAAAAAGAGTTTTATTTTACCTTCTGATAAGTGATTCCTATAAAATCGCATGTATGTATTCACGCCAACTTTTAATACACACACACACACACACATACACACAGACATACTTGTTATCATTTTTGTGTTAACTACTGTGAATTATGGAATTAAATATTTTTAAGTTTAAAATATTTATTTTTAACTATGAACAAAGTAGTTTTTATTTGACTCGTCAATCGGTTGGACAAGCAACGTTACACCAAAGGTAAATCTTATGAACTAATAGTACAGTCAGCAGCCATATCGTGTCACTGCATGCATTCAAGTATCTCTACTAAACCGGATATTTGCTTAACTTATGATCATTGAAGCGAGACAGTAATAATTAGGATTTAAAATCACTTTATACCAATAATTAATGATCTCCAATTTTCATAGATCAGACATACACACACACATACATTCTCTCATTATTGTAACATTCGTTTGAAATAAATATTAAGATTTTTCAACGAGTCATGAAAAGAACATCGTCGAATAGGGTTCATACATTATTGGAGAGCATAAATTAAGAGCCATTTACGATGTACGAGTGTATGTAATCAAGTATACACTCTTCAGTAGAATSAAAAGACGTTAAGGATACTATTGAAAATTTTCCACACACATTTTTTGTTACATATTAATCCAAGCTTAGTATTTTGTTTAAATTAGTCTTTGTATTGAGAATAAATACGTTTTTGAATTAACTGTCGCAGATCAAAGTTCATAAAATTGCATACTAATAAAAAATCATTCTCGTCATTCTACGTTTTTGTTTTGAAAAAGCTTACGTTACTTCAGATCATTAGGCTTATTGTTTATAAGTTATAAACAGTTTGAAAAATGTTTGCTTGTTGGAAAGCAACATTAATTAGATTTCTTTAATTAAAAAATAAAATTATAACTAATTAATGTTGTATCCGGGATTATATAAAATCTTCTATTATCGCGTAAAACGATAACATTTACTCGACTCAACATGATATTCAAAAATTTAAAATTCATTTCGGCAAAATARTRTTKAYGAAAGTTCAATTGTAAATGATTAGAAACGATCTTTGAGCCATCAATAAAAAAATAATTGATAATTAGATCATATTAATAAAATATAATATAATATCCCGCTGTGATAATAAATAAAATAATAAATAATATTTATCATAACAGGAATAAAAAATTGATAATTAGAAATAAATKTTAAATAAATAAATGGACCGTTTATTTTGAAAGTGATGTAAGTCCATTTGCAGCCTATAAATATACATTATTTTAGTTAAATTATCCTAAAAGTAATGTATATAATCAAATTACATATCGATAAATTAAAAGAAACATTATTGAACTTGATATAATTAATGAATATTTTTAAATTAACCAATATGCAAACCTTTAATTTCCTCGAAACAACAGAAAATGGACTTACACCACTTTCAAAATAAACGGTCCAAATAATATACTGAACGCTTGCAACTTATAAGATCATCTTTGATTCTGTTTGAAMAGTCATACATTTAAAATAAAATATTATTAAATTTATATATGAAATTAGAAGAAACACTAGTCTCATTTGTTCATCTTATTTTTATATTAAAGTTAAATAATCTTGCCAAAAGTTCAAAATCTAAACAAAAACTAATAATTTAATTATCCGAGCATAAAGATTTTATCTTGGATGAATAAGCAAGAAGCTCAAATTTATAGCTATATCAGTTAAATGATTACAAAAAAAAAAGAAGGAGAGGGATAGAGGACAAGCTAGAAGGAAGTTCTAGCACATATCATTCATCAGTTTGAAATCGACTCCTCACGGAAATTGTTCGAGATTTTCACGTAGATTTATTCATAGTAATAAAACACAACTAATCGCATTAGATTATTATCTGATCTAAAAAGGAAAACGGTATTACATTATTTCGTATATTAAATTATCTTTATGATAATCATATCTCGAAATAAAATTAAGTTTCATCGATTATTCAAATTTATTTGTGTGAAACATAAATGTTTGTGTTTGCATATACACGTTTATCCCATAAAATTAATCTTAACTATAATTTTATCGATCTAATCCAATTTTTTCTTTTAATTACTTATTAAATTATTATGAAAAAAGTGATACAAAAATCATTATCATTACAGAATGAAATGAAAACCAAAATTTATATGTACATTTTAATTACAGCAAGTAACGTACAATTTTAATATTTTTTATAATTACAGGATAAAAGATAAACGTTTCTTATTACAAAGTGTTAATTTATTCACATGATTAAAAGTGATTACTTTAATAAGATTGAAAGAAATACTACCATCACTCACAATCGAAAAAGTTTCATGTAAGGAACACGGTTGAGAGTTCTTGTTCAATCGTATTTTAAGAATCTTCATTGGTTTTTATATTTTTTATAATATTGATTAATTGTTATATAATAATAAAATTCAATAAATTTATAGTGCAAGTTCTAAATAAGATTCATCATTGAAATTAGATAAAAAAAAGTCGGTAAGAGTGTAATAATTTTTGTATCTTAAACTCAAAAAAATTTCTAAGAATAAGTTACATTCAAATACATTAGAAATGAACGATGTTATAACAAATAAGATCGAATAAAAGTCATTTTGATTTTGAACACGATCGTTTCATCGATCATAATTACCACAATCAAGTATTAACCTCAATAATTTATTTCTCTTACGTATTGCACATTGCACGCACTATTGCAAACATAAAAATAAAAATCATATATAACATACTAATTCTTCGATTATATTATCTAAACAAAAAATATTATTTTGAACGAATAATCGTTGATAAATAAACTCACGTGTCTGTTTAAATATATATCAATTTTTTGATCACATTTTTTATTTTAAATTCATCTGTTTACATAAGAAAATTACTAATTTATTATTTGAAATTTTTGCCTTACGATCAAGATTCTTTGCATTATAATTTATACATATGCATACAAAGATTCGCATGCACACATACACACACATACATAAATACATATCGATTTAAATGCGTAAAACTCATACAACTTCAGAATAAACTCATTACACGCCGCTCTCACATTAATTCGAAAAGAAATTGAGAAATAAATCAATAAATTAAAATATTTTTGTTTTTTTTTTGTTTTGATTTTTGTTTCAGGAAAGATCTGACACAAGATGAAACTTTTAACTCACATTGGGTTTTTCTCCACGTCCCTTGTTTCGATAATTGGTGCTTATAGTATGCCAACTTTCCCACCATTAAAGAAATTATTTAACAACTTTAATCCTGGATTGTTCATGTTTCTAACGTTTTGGAACTGTGTAAGTAGGATTTTTATTAAAAATTTATTTTTCCTTCTTGACACATTGCGATATTTTTCATTGTTGATAACTAATAAGTATTTTACGCGAAGACGAAAATTACCATGAATCTAACGATAATGCTTTTTTATCTCTGAAATATTCAAATTTTATTGTCATTGTGAAATTGAGAAGTTTGAAAATATAATTGATAAAATATTTCTACATTAGCTCATTCAAAAGTAATTTCGTTTTTCCGATGGAAAATAAAAGACAATTTTTTCGTATCCGTGTAGAAATAAATATATATATATTATTTGTAATAAGATTATATATTATATTTATATATTAAATAGATACATAATTTATCATCATTTATATATCTAGGATAATATAAATGTTTTATGTTTTAAATATATTTTAGAAGTATATAATATACACTTTGTATATTTATTATTGATATTTTAACAAATACATTTATTTCTACGCGGGATATTTAGAATCCAAGACGTTTTAAATGATCATGTTCAGTCAAATTTGATAAATTCCATTTCTCATCTATTTCTCGCGTTATTACACGACAATTAGCATTCACCAAACTTTTTCGTATCGAATCACAAAAAGAGTTCCTATATTAGGTCCGAAGTGTCTATCGTTAAAATATCAAATGATTTTGAAGTTTTGAATAAGATCATGTATCGATAAACGCAAATAACGCAATTATATTTCTTTAACAAACTATTAGTATCCAAGTTCATTTAAAATATGTGTATTAAAAAATCCATCCTCATATATTATCGATTACGTTAAACATAATAAGAGATAAGAATATAATTAACGTTTCTACCAATTGTATAAATTTTAATGAGAGAGAGATATTTTATTATCGACAAAGTCGAATTTTTGTTAAACTTATCAATTAAATTATTTTCAAATAAAAAGGAAAGATAAAAGAAAAACTCAAAGAAATGAGAGTCAAGGTCAGGATGCCTAATTAAAATAGTGATGTAAGACTTTAATAAAAAGGGGTACCGCCATCTTATCTAACAATTCATTTCAATTCATTCGAAACTCTGAAGCATCGGAAATACGCTTAACGCATTGCGGTTTCAAACGGTTATATAGCAAATCCCGTTCGATTTCTTGCATTTCACGTTGAAGAGTATGAAGCCTTCGTCTGGGAGTAGGGTGCATAATTTATGATGGGATGCTGGAAGATAGAGAGAGAGAGATAGAGAAAGAAAAAAAGAAAGAAAAGGGAAAAACAAAAATGATACAACACATGAACGATTCGTATATCCACAAGCATACGCAATGTACAATTATACTTCCTAGACTTATTTGCAAACACATACACACACAGACACGTATATATATACCCACACACACACATATATATATATATATATATATATATATATGCATTTAAAAAACAAATTATAAAAAGTTATCACTTAGGGGTTATAAAAACATCAGGTGAAACACTATTACGATATAATTATAATTATCTTTTCAAGTTTCCTTATTTTGTTTACTTTGTAATTTGTTTTTCATTTGCACGTTGCATCTTAACCGAGATATTATGCATAAGGAATACATTATATGGGTATTATAAAAGTACAAACAGGTTTACTTGTATATATTTCCCCCGGAAATCTACGACTACGACTACGACTACGACTATGACAATGTAATGGAGCATGCGCGTTTTTGGTCTGCGCAGAAAATCAACCGCATACTCGTCGTCGTCGTTGCTTCGTCATCGTCCATCTCTTTTTTATTCATTTCGGAATAAAACATTACAAACTGAACTACATTTAAAATGAACATTTCCCGCATTTTCCTATCTCACGTGTCAAACTATTTAAACACAAGAAGCATACGCGTATTATTTTGAACAATCTCCCTTCGCCCCCCCCTCCTTATCCCCCTCCCCCCTCGCCAAAATCGATAGCAATACTTTTCACTTTTCGATGTCAATAATTCCAATTTATTTTCAGACGATCGTTCGATGCTAACCATGCGTAATTCATCTAATCAATTCGATATCAATTCGAAATAGATAAGAGATTATAAAAGAGGAAAGATCGTATAAAATAACCCTCTCCCCTCCCCACTCCAAAGAGGAAGTATAATATAACAGGAAAAATGGTAGTAGTAGTGGAACATCAGTATATGTCCGTTACGACATAAACTCACATCGGTTACTTACCTGATACGATATTGTGTTTAGTCTCTACTCGTTAAATAAGTTCATCATATTCATTGCGTGCATTGCATAACTTAGGGAAAGAAACAAGCATGATTTGGAATTTGAACAATTGACCTTTAAGATTTCGCAGTACTATTTCTTCTTCTTCTTCTTTTTCTTTTTTTTGGTGCTTATTTTTTCTCCTTGTTGTTAGGTTCAACGTATTTGGTTTTTCTATTTTTTCTTCCAACCCATTCCAATTAGAATTTATCTACTCTCTCTCTCTCTCTCTTTTTCTCGTTGTTTCTCTCTCTCGTTCTATCTCTATCTCTATCTCTCCAAAAGCCACTCGCATGCTCGAAAGTGAACAAGCATCAGAACGAACGTGGCCGCGCACGTCTTTTCTTTCCTTTTCCCCTCTCTCAATCTCTCTCTCTCTCTCACCCTCTCTCTCTCTCTTTCTTTCTGTCTCTATCTCTGTCTCTTTACTACCCTTTCTCTCTCTCTCTCTCTCGCTCCTTCCACCTCTTTTTCTCTCATCCGTCAGTAAGTAACAGTCTGTCGAGAGGATCGGAGCACGAGGTACGCGAATCATCAAGTTCAACGATTTTTATCAAGGTTTTTTCTTTTTTTATTTCTAACACGGATAATAATCAACATATAGATACATAGGTAATTGTTTTTTTATTTCTTTTCTCTCTCTCTCTATCTCTCTCTCCTATTTTTGCGTCGTTCAAATATTATATATTTTTTCATCAATAACACACTATTATAATATTTGTAAATCGGTCGAATAAGAAAAATTAAAAACTCGTGAGTATATACGGTGTAAATACACGTATAGGGGTAGGGGGTTGAAATGGGGGAGTAGGATTGGCTTCCTACCCGCGTGTCATCCAACTTTATAACTGAGGAAAAACAAAATAAAATATACGAGGGAGAGCGATGATGCGAATAAAAATAGAAAAATATCAGAAAGCGAATGTGGTCTCACAGTAAGTACGAGAGAGAGAAAGAGAGAAAGAGAGAGAGAGTGAGTGAGAGTGAGTGTGTAAGAAAGGAGACACGTGTGAAAGACATGCCGCTATGATATGCACCTACGTCGATGAACGATGATAAAAAACAATGTTTGACCCTTTCTATAGGGTCATCTTCGTGAACGCGTAATTAACATATCTAATGATTTGTAAATTATCTCTTTTTATTTTTGAATTTGCTCATTTTTCTTTATTTGTCAACAATTTTTGCTTATCTTTTCAAAAAGATCGAATGATTGTTACTATAACGATAATTTATGAGTTAACATTATTTAAAAAAAGAAAAAAAAACTAATGAGGATAATATTACATAAGGTTAAAAATGTATGTAGCGGTAATATTGCAAAATATTTAAATATATTTTATTTTATTTGCTAAAGATGATTTAATTTAAACAGGTCAGTAGGCAGTTATTGTATTTAAAATATTAATGTAAACGTAAGCATTTTTAGCCAAAAAATATAAGTATAAGTAAAAAATATTATGAACTTTGACAAAACGAGAATACAAAGATAATGGTTGAAACGTTCGAATATTTTATTTTTATCTTTTTAGTTAGATTACTTTAAAAATTTGTTATTTGTCTTATTTTAAAATAAACGAGTCAGTCTGATTAATCGTATTTGTAGTGTTCATTCGATAACATGTATATGAATTTTAATTAAAATAATATACGCAAATAATCGCAAAGAACGATAATTTCAATTGATAGCTTACATAAAATAAAATAGTACAGTAATCTCTCTGATGAAAAAAGAAGAACAAAAGCCTACGATGAGATACGCGCGCGCACACACATTCTATTTTAAATAGAGAACAGATTCGGTCTCTTAAATGAATTTTATTCTTTTTTTAAAGAAAAAGAGTTCCTGTACAGAGATACTTGAACACGTGCATGCAAAGATAAAAGAAATTTCTGCTTTGAATTTTCATCTAATTATCTCGAAATCGTGAATTCATTTAATTGATAAATATAACAGAAAAAAGCTAGATAAGATTAATAAACAACGAATGAAATATAGAAAGAAGTTTAGAGTTAGAAGAAGGGAAGAAAAAGAATAAGATGAAAATGAAGATGAAGATGAAGATGAATATAAAGATGAAGAAGAGGAACCCTTAGAGTACATCAGCAAACGAGGCCTAGTTTCTATCTTTCGCTATCTCCGTTATCGATCCAAACACGATCGTGTCTCGGCTGGTTGACAGTGAAAGAACCCAATACTGAAAGAGATAGAAATAGTATGCATATATGTATGAATGTATGTGTATGTGTGTGTATATGCGAGTTTTGTAAAAGACGAAAATATGGTCAAAAGGATGAAAAGGTTATTACAAAATTTATAAATTCACGGTGCCATTAGTAGCGTTATAATTTAGGTCATAAATATATATATATATATATAAAACTAGATGAAAGATTATGTTTTTTAAAATAGAAACTTAAATGAAGGAATAGTCTATATGTTATTCCAGAAAATTCCTGAGGATTCCAGAAAGAAAAATAAAGAAACTAGCCGTACAAGATGCGAGATTCCATTCTCATAGGATTTCACGCGATTGCATGTTTGCAATTCGCATATTCTGTTTATTACGATTTCACGTACACCGTGGTGCCAACGCATATAATGAAGAGCCACAGCGCTTTCGGTGGAAGATTTAAATTTCTCACATTTTGGGACGCGGTTAGTATAGTTTATGAAGGATCATTGTTGTCCTTTATTTTATTCATTTAATTTACTTATCAACACGTATATTATCTAATTTGTAAGTTATCATTTACTATGACGTGTCTATCCTTGTAGTTGGAAAAGAATCTTTTAACACTAAAAACCCGTTTGTAATCCAAACGTTTTCCTTATCGTCCTAATCTAATCCTAAAAAACGAAAAGAAAAAATAAAAGTAAAAAGAAAAAGAAATAGATTTATATGGTAAACCGCTTAATATGGTCGTAACTCTTACAACATGTCCTCTTATTAGCAACAGTCTACCCAGCTACCTAGCTACCTAGCTACCTAGCTAACTCGTTATGTAATCGGTGAAAACACAACGAGGATACATAATAATATATCTGTGATGAAGAAAATAAGGAAAGGTGTATTAACCTTTCGACTATAATCCAAAGACCAGCGGTGCGTTATCCTACAAGTAAAAAAAAATACAATTACTTAGGTTGACAAGGGCCCCAAATTCTCCACAAAATTCTAATTATTATTTAAATAAAAATCATATTCAATTCTACTATATTTGGGGTCTCCCGCATTCAGATATACTCGGAACTCCGTAAAGTTCAAATTCCAAAGTCTGATAATAATCCTGTTTGATTTGTTCGGAAACTAAAAAGGGAAGAATCAAGCAAACGTTTCAAGTTAAACCCGACGCGGTTAGACTGTAGTATACTTCTACTATTATACCGATTATAGTAAATAAGCCTAGTTTTTATTCGTTACGTGTTATTCAATACGAGTATGTTCTATGTAGTAAGATTACATTTATCGATTTCAGTTACACTCTTTCCACTTTCCTAGAAATTTTCTTCCGGGTTTTTGATTGTACATTTCTATTACCATCAAGACGCGTTCCGCGTAATTCCATTTTGTTATTTAATAGATCATTTTTCAAGAATCTCAATTTTTATATCTATCCTTTGAAAATAAAATAACAAATAACAAGTTACAATGTTTTGAAACGTGCCTCTCCTTGTCTTATTCTTATTCTTAATCGGCTATTATATTTTCTATGCACGTGTTAAGCGACTCTTATTGAATAGCAACGTCATTTTGTCGCCTTCGTAACATCACAAGCCTCTTATCCAATAATTGACTCTAACACGAAAGTTAATTCGTTATTTACAAATCTACTGATTACGTCATTCCAAAGTATCATTAACTTTTAGAATTTCAAAATTTGTACAAATTCTATTTTAGCATTCATTTCCATACACGTTTCTTATTCTATCAACTAACAGCCAACCTACTAGTAGATTCTTTATTACGACATATTTTCTAGATTGTCCAGTATTGATTCATTTGAATTTTATTACCACATAGTAAAAAAATAAAAGTAGACTTTTTAATTTGAAATAAGATCTGTGAAATAATGAACATTTGATTGATTCGTGATTTGTTGTTTCAGATATTACAAGCGGTATTCTTTTTAATATGTATCATAAACGATTTTTATGGTACCAATGCAGTTGCCCCAAAGAAACCACCATTTATCCGAAAATTAAAGGATTATCTTTTCGGGGCTCTTTGTTTTCCTTTAGCCATGGTACGAAAAAAATGATGATTGTCTTAAAATGAAATTATTTTCAATATTATCATATTAATAATATTCGTTACAGTTCGTGGGGATTACGTTTTGGGCGTTAATGTTCATCGATCGTGAATTGGTATTACCAAAGGCATTAGATCCATATTTTCCATGGTGGTTGAATCATCTGATGCATACGATGATCATGGTTTCAATCGTTATAGAGTTGTTGTTAGCACCACGAAAATATCCTAAACGATCGCATGCTCTTTCTGGTCTCATAGGATTTACGCTTACTTACTTAGTCTGGTAAGTTTAATTTGATTTATGAAATATGGAAAGAAACATCAAAACGTCGGTTCTCATTTATTGGAAAAACTTTTAACGAATTTATTATAATTGTAATAATGAATGAATTATTTATTAAAGGGTCCACGTGATATATTACAAGAACGGCATTTGGGTATACCCAGTGATGGAAGTATTGACGCCGGCAATGCGATTAGTATTCTTTGGAATTTTATTGATATTCACGTTGTTACTATATTTCACCGGAGAAATGCTGAACAAACTCGTTTGGGGTAACGGTAAAACTAAACAACACAAATCTCATTCCAAGTAAACCCCGCCAAACTTGTCACCGGCAAGTGACCACAAATCATGATCTGCCTCTCCATCGGTGGTGGTGGTGAATAAAATTCTCTTTTATTGTTCACTCGTTGAAAAAAATGCACGTTTTTTTTTTATTTTTCTTCTTTATAAAAAAGAAAAAAAGAAGGAAAGAAAAAAAAATAATAATCATTATCGTTATCAAAACATTAAAACAAACAAAAAAAAGGAAAAAAAAAGAAAGTAATATAAAGGGAAACCGAACAGACAGAATCCTCCCAGTTCCCGCAAAACACCCACCCTCTCCGAAAAGAATACTATGCATGCACACGGGCAGATTTCACACGGTAAATGCTGCTGAATCGATAATCCAACCTTTTGTTTGGGTCGTGTTAACTTTGCTCAACAGTCTGCAGACTGACTGATTCTGATGCTCAAAGCATGTTTTTAAGTGAGTTTATCTCGCTAAAGCTTTCAAATAATTGTGTTTACAACCCCTATTCCTGTTTTATTTGCTTTTTGTTTTTTTTTATATTCCCTTACCCTAATGGAAAACTAAAAAGTAATAGTGCCTGGATATAGAGCAAGTGACCGATTGTAAATAAAATTCGATTTAATTAATAATAATGCGCCTCTCTATTATTAGACTCTCGTCATAATCATTATTTTTGTACTTTTTTATAACGAGAGTATGATACATACTGTGGGTGAAAAAAGTATTGGGAAAAAGAAAAGATATTGAAATTAGTAGAGATTCTTATAGAAATCAACGGAATTTTAGAATCGCATCGTTTTCTCAGGTGGTGGTATTAGTGCAGCAAAATGAAGTGTTCAAATACTTTTTTTACCTACTATATATAATGTAATAATAATAAAAGTAATCAAATATTAATATGGTGTGCACGTAGGGACAAACACACACGCTACAAAGGTATATACCAATCATTATATAAATATATAATAAAAAATATTATACACATTTGAATTCGTTACAAATCTCGAATATATAAAAATCTTGTTGTATAGCAAACAATAAAAGTTAAAATATCTATATACATATATTTGTATCGGGTATAGGTAAAAAATACCTAGCAGAGAATAACAACCCAGATTTGAAAGTATTATCTGTGTCAACCGAACGAGAACAAGAGGAAAAACCTGGTCTTGCATAAACGATGAAAACGAATGATAAAAACGAATGAGAAAGAAAAAGATGAAGAATGTAAGATAAACATTGTCTACGAGCTTTAAAAAACAAAGCTCTGCTAATAGCATTGTCAAGGATGAGCTTAAAACAATGTCATTGACAAACCTGATTCATTTTCTACACTTTGTGCATTATTTTAATTAGGTTTCGACCTAAAATTATTTTTTAAACAATTATGCGTGAGTCATATTTTATATTGTTTATATCTAACGAAATATATATAAAATATTTTATACATAAATTTTCTTATGTATAAGCGTCCTCGCATTAATTAATATTTAAGTATATTTTGAAACAATTTTGAATTTTTTATGAAGAAAAACAAAATAGTTCTTTTATATTCCTTAAACTATGATACACTTAGAAGTCTGATATCATAAATACATTGGAATATTTTTCGATGAATTTAAACTATTTTGATAATAATAATAATAATAAAGTATATAAAAATATAGATATACACTATATATAAATATTATTGTATCAAAATCAAGTCATAAATCATTTACAGTAAGAAAAGTTTCGACATACTAATTAAATGAAAAGAAATAGTATATCCTTACCTATTAAAAACATATAATAATGTTAACATTTTAAATTGCTATAGTGTTGTACATTAAACATATGAATGAACTTTATTCTTCGATGATATAAAATATTGATCAGTGTCAATGTTCAGTCTTAAATATTGCAATATTCAAATTGTTCATTTAATTAAAATTACATTTGCGTTGCTTTAGAACTACAATGCCTGCTGTTAATAATCTCATCAATACTTTGCTTTAGTTCCTCCATTTCTAAAATATCGAGAGGCAAAGAAGTTTGTGTAGCTATTTCTCTGGCATTAATTTGCCCATCCGATTTATCCATTATTCGTGTTAATTCAGGACAACAAGATTTCAAACTGGATGCTAAATCACCCATACCAGCCTTTTTGTATGTGTCTTTTTTCTCCGACTCACATTTCAATTTTGTTTCACTGGACTCTTGGAGTAAATGTTTTAGGATAGCCTCGTCTTGTAACAAGTATTTACTTTTACGACCTTCTCTAGTTCTAATATCACTTTCGTGACAATAATTCTTGCCACTTTTGTTATTCATCTTACTTTTACTATTTTCCATTGGTTCTTCCATTTCCAGCATCTTCGTTTCTTCGTCAGGCTGACTATCATCACTGTCAGTATCTTGATCGTCTTTGTCTGCATTGCCTGCTTCTATATCAATATCTTTATCTCTCATATCTCGATGCCTTTTTTCTTCGCTACTTAAATTCTCATCGCTACCGCTTTGATTTGGAAATAAAAATGGTAATAACATACCCGGACTTTTCCATTCTAACATTTTAGAATTTAAAACACGTTCGTCCAATCCTGCACTAGCCGACCGTCTTTTCATATTAGGAACTTGAATAGGGACTTTAGATGTACCACCAATGGTCAATGCTGAAAGTATTTGTGCACCAAGCTGACTCTCTTGAGACGTAGAACTGCCTCGACGAAAAAGTGGACCAACTTTGCTAGATCTTGATTTAGCAAAATCTCTTCTACGTTTAACACGACGTCCACGAGCACTTCCAGCTACCTTTCTCGTTGTTTTCAATTCAGCTATCTGCACGGATATCTGAGAATCCAATGAATTTCTTCGAGATTCCACTGATACCCGTCTCACGCTGAAACTTATTTCAGAATCAACAGAATTTCTTCTGTTGCTAGATACTGAACCTGTTGTTCCACCCACCAGTGCTCCTCTTCTTGTCACTAATTTTGGTAAAGCAGCAGCCCAAGTTGAACTAAAGTCTTGAGATGCTACAGAGTTGAGATCAAAATTTAATCCTACTGGATCTTCGTGAGTATTATGAAAACTAATCGATAAACGACCAGCACTGTTAAAAGTCTTGCGTTTTGCGAAAGCTTGTGCTATCACTTTGTGTTTCTTCAGTTTTATCGGCTCTTCAGTTTCACTATTAAAAGTCCTACAAAAAATAAAATAAAATGGTATCATTTAATCGTTTGAATATTGATCAAAATTACTTAATATGTAGCATCGTACCGTCGGATAAATCTATTCCACGTATCCACTGTGGATCCTGTCCAAACCCATGACGACATGAGAATACCAGCAAAAAATGGTGAAAGTAAATGCAACTGCAACTTGGCAGCACTTGGTCTTGCTTTCATTTTACATTCGGATATGTCTGCATACTTTGTTGTTATCGAACATCTTAAACAATTAAAAATAATTCATTGAACAATTACAAATAAGGATAAATGATAATATGATTAAAATATCTTTGATAGAAATGATTTCTTACATCATATAATCACGAAAACTTTTTCGCCATTCCCAAGAATGCTGAAATTCATGAATGTGGCAATAACAAGTCACTATGACTGCTGCAAATGTAAAAATTGAAAATAGGCCCATTCTAACGATGGTTTCTCTTATTTTAGAACTTGCTCTTTCAGATATTATTTCTTGACTACTGATTTTTAAGCGAATAAGCGTGATCAATCCTACAATGTAAATAAAACCATGAGTATTCATTTAAATATATAATTTTCTTTTCGTTATTATGATTAATACTTACATATAGCAACATCAGAAGCATAGACGAAAACGTACATTATTTTTATTGGATGGAACATATAATGAATATTTCTAAATAGTAAATCTTACCTCTGGACAAAAAGTATCCTCCCACGAGTAAAACGATTACCACAGGCCCAAGCAGAAACCAAGCTCTAACTGCATGATTCGAATAACCAACGAAACAGATACCAGTTACACTATTGCCATCTATTTCTCCCAATGCCATAATGGTCACCGTTAAAACAAGCGGTAAACACCAAGCAATGAGATGAAAATAAGCACCCTTTTTATCAATCCTATCTTGAATTTTACCAAGAGCTTGAAAACTCATATGCCAAGCGTATGTTAAAATGACAAACCACACCATCGCAGCCATGAGTGAATAATAAACAAGTACAAAAACAACAACGCATGATAAATTTTCTCCGCTGAAAATCACAATATTCTTATAGTTTATAGAGTTGTTTTTTATATTAAAATAATATAGAAGAAACATACCTTGGTTCACTCATTCTCAATGTACCATCTTTACGGCATACAATAACGTCTCTACTTCCAGGAGTAAATTGTACTAACCATCCTATACACGACACCATAAAACAACAATTGATATAAAATATAACTAACGCAGGATATTTATTTGCACTTCTCCAATCTATTAAAAACGTGACCTGTAACATACACAAATAATATTTAAAATATTATTAACTAAATATCATTGATATTATTAATCATTTTATAGAAGAAACTCACCACAGTAAAAAAATTAAATGAACAACAAATACCAGCAGCCCAAGCAATAAAAGAATGAATTTGTTTTTGCTCATCCGATGTAAAAAATGGATCATTGCACTGCGTACCACATCCATCAACGCCATCAAAAATTGCAAGCATATTGTCGGTTGGAATAAGTGGTTTCAAACATTTACCCGAAGTATTGAATTTCAATTCTCTAATATCATTTTTACATAATCTCGGAAAAAGTTTGGTATTTTCGCATTTGACGAAACTTGGCCAGATAGTATGATTGAATACTATTCTGCAAGGTCCAGATACCATTTTACACATTTCTTGGGATGGTAAATCAACAGTATCATTTATGCATTTAGGCATGAATATCGAACACAAGAATGGTTGTACGACTGCCCAACACTTAGGTATATGTCTAAGTGCTTGTAGTAAATATAACTTTTCCTGTAAAAAAAAAATCAGACGAAATTATAAAAATTCTATTCTTGAAAATATGTAAAATATGTAAATGTAAAATTATAAAATTTCAATTAATAGATGTACCTGAATTAATTTAGGTGTCGTATATTCGGATACAAGATCTAACGTAGTAGACAAATAAGGTAATCTGGTACCCATACAAGTATTGTTCTGCAAAGGTATACATTTTGCAGGTCTCCGGCAGTTCTCAGAATCAGAAGGCAGTTCTCCCAAAGGATACCTGTCCAGCAGATAATTGGAATCCTTAATCCTATGTCTATGACTTAAATCCAAATTTTTCCATGTTTCATTTTCGCCATTGGAATTGCCAGTAAAAGAATCAACCAATTCCGAGTTGACTACATGAAATATAAACAAACAGCATAATAATGCAATCATAATCTGAAACAAATAATATAAAATAAATTAAATTAAATAATAAAAATTAACAACAACGATAAGAAAAGAAAAAAAGCGCGCGTATTTTTATTTTAAAAAGTTGCCCCAGTCACGTGACTCTAAATGTAAACAATGAAAAGAGATTTCAATGGGAGGATAAGGAATGAGGGTGAAAAAACAAAAATAATAATAATAATAATAATAATAATAATAATACCTCACGCATAGAAATAAAAATATATTAAATGTTCAGGTATTCTTGATTAGCCACCGAGAAAGTCCTCCCTTTTGATCGGACAAAATGTCTCGCATCTTCTAGCAGCAGAACGGATAGTTGAGTCCAGTGTTCGTAGAAACCCCTGAGACCACACACGAGGAGAGAAGCTTGCTTTGAGAACGACTTGGACCACCCACGACGACCCCCGGTCACAACCCATACCATACTTCGCATTGTTTCGCATTTCCCAAGTTTGAAAGTAGCCTGGCTGCTAGACAGTTTCATAAATAATTCGTTGGTAGCGCTACTTGTGTTTCTTACCTTTTTATTTCAATTATTTTTCTTATTTTACTCTTCGTTTTTTATAAATGTCAAATATACTTCACTTTTTACATGGAAGGTAATGTTTTTTAAGATGGATTCGTAATTTTACACCGGTGAATATCATTAAGGTGACATCGTATGAAACGTCATCTTGTGGCGGTAAAATTGTTTTCATTTGAATCTTTTATTTAATTAAGTACTGATTTCTGTTTTTCTTTTTTTAATTTTTGTTTTTTTCAGTAATAAAAAATATTCTTCAGTTCTTGGAAGTATTTTGTTGTTTATTATAATGAAATTATTGTTATTTTATATCGATTAGTATTATTAAGGCGAGATCATATGAATATCATCTTGTGGCGGTTAAATTTTTTTAATTTGAATTTTTTATTTGATTAAATATTAATTATTTTTTTTGTTATACATACAATGTTGGTTTGCATAAAATCAGATTAATTAGTTTCTCTTAATTGTATATATTATAGTATTTAGGTTTTTTTGTTATAGATTTATGACATAAAAATATATTGATCTTAAATTGATTAATATATTTTTTAATTTAATTTTATTTCTTCGGACATTTTCAGATTTATTATCAAAGTTTGATTGTTGATTGACTAGTGTCGACACCTACATTTTACCTGAACACATGCGCACAATAGTATATGTAAGTAATGATGCAGGTGTTAATAAAAGAATATAAACGAAATTAAAATAGTATTGTTTATTGGAAACAAGCTTTTTGATTTCTATGTAAGTCAACAAATATCCAAATAATTAATCAAAAATGATGGAATCGATGTTATTAACCATTTAAATATCAAACCAGTATTCTATCAGTCATTAAAAACTTTTTCTTCCTTTAACTTAGCAGGAAGTATGATAATTACCCCTATAGTTGATTAGCTGCTGGTTGTGATAATAAAATGCTACTAATATATGATAAGCCTTATTCACCGTACACAGCTGCGAATTATTTTATAATAATGTCGCAGGGACGATTGGTCGGCTATTAGTGAACGCAGTTTATGTATAAACTGTTACATGTATTGTACGTTAAAACATCTAAGACTATAACTTTATTTTACAGTGAAATATTTATCGTTCTTCTGAAAAAATATAATATAAGGTAAGCGATAAGAATATATTGATTTTTATAGTCACCAGAATTGATTACAATGTATAAAACTGATAAATCAATTTTGATTAAATTTTTCCTTTCGTTGATTACAGTTAAAATGTTTTGTATTTATTACTTGGGACTCTACTTATTCTTATTTGGAGCTTGCATTGGACATTATTCAGACTGGGATGGAAAATGGCAAATGTGTTCGAGCTTATATCCCCATGCATTTACCAAATATTTACCTCGTGGAAATTTATCTTTAAACATTTTCACTGCATGGTCTGGTGTAACAGATATTGAACGTTGCGTCACTACGTGCTGTAGCGAGTTACATTGTAATGTTGCTCTTATGCATAATGACACGTGTTATCACGTGAAATGCAGTAATTCCGAAATGTGTATGCCATTATATAGACCTAATTTACCTAATGAAAATCCACCTAGCATGGTTTTGGTCAAACCGGTTAAAGTTAATGAAATGTGGAGCGAACTGTTGAGTCAAGCTAATGATGAAACTAGGTAAATATTTTATGTATTTGAAGATATTCTTTTACGAGTTACTAAAATTTTTATATAATTTTTATAGACCATTATTAATGGAAAACATTGATGATAACCGCATCGTATTTGATACAGATACCATTAGTTGCATATATCAATCTGAATGTGCACCTAACGAAATTTGTATCAGACATGAAGAAAAAGATGATGTCAGCGTTTGTCGATGCAATTTTGGATTCAAAAGAAATATTGCTGGTATTCATAGCATTTAATTTTTTTTATATATAAATGCATATTTAATTTAATTTACAGAAACGCGGGTTTCTAAGTCTATCACTTGAGCGCCGGCCCCGTGAAAACATGGATCTCTGATCTATTCAGTGATCAGAAACAAGCGAATAAGGCTGGCGTTTGGGATTTAAGTAGCCGATACATTGCCGGCGCTCAGGCTTTAAATGTCTCTTAGGTCGCCGGTTGTCAATATATTAAGAATTTTCTAATGATATATTTCAAATTACAGGTACTTGCGTGGTAATAAATGAAATAGAAAATGCGGAACTTGGTGTTACTCCTCAAATGAGTGCTCAAATTTCAAAAGGTACAACTACATCCGTGAAACCTACCTTAAAAGAATTATTAGTATCTGCAGTTTCTAAAGAAGTACGCTTGCCAGAAAACGAAGTAACATTATCGGCATACACTATGCCTGCCGAACAAGGCAATGAACATTATAATTATGCTTGGAGTTTACTTAGTCAACCAGAAGGTCATACAGGAACAATGATCGATCAAAACCGTATAACTGTTAAATTGAGTAATTTGTCGGAAGGCTTATATAGATTTAAAGTAGCTGTAAGTAACCCAAATGCTTATGGAGAAGCCTACGCTAATGTCAGTGTTTTACCACGTAAGTTATTCTATCAGATATTTTATTAGATACTTTGTAAAACTTACAAAATCTTTTAAATTAAAATAATTATCATTTTTAATTTAAAAATACTAGCTAAGAGAATAAACCAAGCACCGATTGCTATAATTTCACCTGCCTCGCAAGTCGTTAAATTGCCTAATACAGGAGCTGTATTGGATGGATCAACGAGTAAAGACGACGATCACATAATTTCTTATCATTGGGAACTGCAGCAAGGTCCTATTGGATATCAGCCTAATTTAGTTGATACTCCTACTTTACAATTAGATAATCTTATAGCTGGAAACTATACTTTTAAACTAACAGTTGAAGACTCTGATCATGTCACAAATTCTACTAAAGCTAATATAACTGTTTTAAAAGTAATCGATTATCCGCCGAGTGCTAACGCAGGACAAGATGTTATAATTTATTTACCTCAAAATACATTGATACTTAATGGAAACTTAAGTACAGACGATAGAGGAATAGCAAGCTGGGAATGGACAAAAAGTCCTTCTGATCAAAACAAAGCTGTAGACATGCAATTTACCAGAACCCCTTACTTACATTTATCAAACTTAGTTGAAGGAATGTATACTTTTGTTCTCAAAGTAACCGACGATTCTGGCCAGTCTTCTTCAGCCGAAGTTCATGTTTTTGTGAAGCCTCCTACAAATAAACCACCAAAAGGTTAATTAACATTATAATTAGGTGTTATTTCATTTAATAATAATTTTTTAACGATTGTTTCCCTATAGCTAATGCTGGAGAGAATATAACCATTGCATTGCCAGAGACACGAACAGTATTAGATGGTAGAAAGAGCAAAGACGATATCAAAATAGTTTTTTATCATTGGAAACAAATGAGGTAAAATTATTTATATTACATATTTAATATATTTTATATTCTATGTCACTGCTAACGTATTCCTATAACTATAGTGGTCCCAGCATAGTTGATTTTTCTGCAGTAAATGAATCTATTACAAATGTAACTAAATTAACTAAAGGAGATTATCTATTCAAGCTAACAGTTATTGATGACAATGGAAATAAAGATTCTGATACGGTTGCTGTTAAAGTAACACAAAGTACGTATTCTATTTTCATTTAAACATTAACTCCTTGTACTATTTATGTTAAAATAATATTCATCTAAAATTGTTTATTTTCAAAAGATAAAAATGCAGCACCTAAAGCAAATGCTGGTGGTGATCAAATTATAATAGCTCCTATTGTTGCCTTGATCCTTAACGGTTCTCAATCTTCTGATGATTTACGTATCGGGCAATGGTTATGGACAAGAGAACCATCTAGTCTCGCGGTTGGTACTATAATTGAAGGAACAGATAAATCACCAATATTAATGGTAATCATTTATTTTTTTTATAATAGAATAACATTACGAATTAATATAAATAATTATTCTTTTAATGATAATAGTTAACGGATATCGTGCCTGGCAGATATCTTTTTAAACTGAAAGTAACAGATGAACAAGGATTAAGTAACGAAGATACTGTATCTGTTATTGTAAAACCAGGCAAGCAATATTCTGAATTAAAATAGCATTGAAACAAAATGTATAGGTGTTCCTAATTAACGTATTAATTAATTTACAGATCCTCAATTGTTGCATTTGGTAGAATTGACATTAAATATAGGCGCTAATGTATTAACAGAATCACAAAAAAATTCTCTTGTTGTAAAACTGCAAATGTTGCTGCGAGATGAAGCTACCATCGTCGTACGGAATTTAAGAGCCGAACCGCGTACAGGAAAAGCAGTATTAATATTTTACGTAGAAAAAAAAGGCGGCAAAGAAATGATGTCTGGTCCAGAGGTAGTAAAAAGATTGAAACAGAAACTCAAGCAAGATTCTGGTTTGTTACAATTGTCTGTAGCAAATATTGATACCGCTTTGTGTCAAAATAATTGCTCAGGTAATTTTCATAGATATAATATAACTATGATAACATTAGCATAATTAGAAAGATAATAAATATTTATTTAAATAAGGTCATGGGGTGTGTGATCAGGAAACACGACAATGTATGTGCGAAGCATTTTGGATGCAAAATTTAATCCAAAAATATTTCGGTAATGGAGAATCAAATTGCGGTACGTTAATATTTTGAATTAATCAATATAATTAATTTGTTTACTTATTAACAATGTTCCAATTGTATATTTTAGATTGGAGTATTTTATATGTATTAATAGCCCTATTATCCTTGGTTGTTTGTTGGGTTGGACTTGTTTGGGGACTTATCTGCATGTGTCAAAGAATCTGCACTAGTAAGAGAAGAATATTACGTCCAAAGAAAAAGCTAGCACGTTATTCTCTTCTTCAACCGGAACCAGAAGATGATGGTATACTCTTTGTGTATTAATATGCAGTGTAAAATGTTCAATTGTTACAACTAATTAAAATTGATTTCACAGTTCCACATACTAAAATGGTATTGTCAGATTCGGATGCTGATTCTTATGACGTCTTATTTGAACACTGTAAGACAAGAAGTAATAGTCACATGAGAAATGGTAAAGCTCGTAATGGTTTGTGAAAGTAAAAACGGAAATGAAAATTTAAGGTAATTCATTAAAAATCAAATATGATTCTTTTTTTATACATAGAATAATGTATCCTGATATTATGTATATTTTATGTTCCAGTGTTATTACATTCACAAAATCATACTGAAATAAGTAACGCACATGTGTGTACATTTGGCCAAACATACAGTACTAGTCAGTTATGGGGCTGTAATTTACACTAAGTACCTTAAAATAATGAAACAAAAAAAGTAACATCATCTTTAAAGCTAAAACTTGTAAAAAAAAAAAGGACCGAACAAAGTAGATAATGTTTAAATATAAAAGTATTACGATTATATCTCTTCATTGCACTTAAATGATTGATTTCATTATAAATTAGTGCAATATTACTATACAGGGTGCGATAAACGTCGTTTTCTCTTACATAAATCAAGTCAAAAAAAGATCTCGAAGGGGAGACCTTTGGAATTGTTTAGTATTATTTTGAAGAAATCAATTTTGATCTTATTCTATATTCTTTACGCTTTTTAAAAAGAAATTTTTGATTACGTATTCGTTAGCAGTTTAATTGCTAGTTATTTATAAACTGTAATTATTAGCAATGTTATAAAGGAACGCTAAAAAAATTTTGAAAGTTTCTATAAATTACACAATTACGGCCTTGAAGAATTATATTTAAATTAATATAGTAATATATATAATATAATTACTTCTAATCTGTAAACGATTTGTATGTATACTATTTACTCCTCTATATTTACATCGCCAATCTTATTTTTACACGTATATGAACATTGAATAAAATCTATTATTCACAGTGCGCGTTGCAAAGAAATTTTATTAAATGTCAAATTTATTTAAAAAAATAAACAAATCAATTTAGATTAGCAGTAATTCATTACTGCTAAATTTCATTATCAATTCATTCCTTTTTTTTTTGATAGTATATATGTAGATGTTAAAATATGTAATAAAAAACTACGACAATGTTTCCTATATGTTTATTTTATAAAATATAAATATAATCCAAACAAATAGAAGATATCTATTTTCTATTTCGCTCACGAAATACTATAATCTACTTCAGGCTGTTCATCACCCAGGCAGAAAAATGTCTAAACCAGCGTGAACAACCTTAAATGTTATTTTTAACCAGATACATTCTCTACTGAAGTTGAGAAGAGTAGTCTGTAAGACATTCCTACTGCAGTAAAGCAACGTATCGAATTTATTCTAAATTAATTTTTAAAAATAATAATGTGATTCAAAAAAAGATGAATTAATTCTATTATCTAAAATAATAAATAATAAATCAATGGAATTCATGGAATTAGTGAACTGTTCTGTTAAAAATCAATTGGAAAAGAATTGTTTTGGTAATGGAAAAACGATCGAAGAAGAAATCGAAAGTAATACATTAAATAATAATAATGAAAACGTCACTTATTTTACCGATAAGAAAAAATATAGGAATAATCAATCAATTATTACGATAGAACCAAAACGCATAAGCGCTGATGCAAGGTAACACGATATAAATTTATAAATAAATTTAGATCATATTGTTAATTTATGAACAATACAAAATATATAAATAAAAACACGTAATCTGTCTTATTTAATATAGCTATAAATAAATAAAAATCTAGACTCTCTCTCTCTCTCTCTTTCTCTCTCTCTCTCTCTCTCTCTCTCTCTCTCTCTTTCTCTCTCTCTCTTTCTCTTTCTCTCTCTCTTCGTGTTATAAAATTAACAATGATTGTATTTCAAGAAATGGATTGAGGTGGAGTATGGAACAAAAAATAGGCTCGCTTTCCTACAAGTTTTCGGATAATGGAAATTTAAACAGTGAATGTAATAAAGAAAATAAAATGCAAATAATTCCAAATATTCATGAAAATAAAGATTTCTTATGTTCAAGATGTGGTAAAAAAATGCGAGAACCTAGACTTCTTCCTTGCTTGCATGCCATGTGTTCTCCTTGCGTCTTTGACTTAATCGAAAAAGGTAAGAGAAATTAGTCATGCAATATCTCATTAAATATATTCTACCAAAGCGAATGATGATTTGTATAATCCTTAATGGAAATTATACTTTATAATTTGGTTTGCAGCTAATAATGTTGACTCAAGTAAGTTGCAGAAGAATAATAACATTAATCCGGTGTGTAATATTTATGAAAGATGTCCCTTGTGTAATTTTTGTCTATCAAACACTTATTTTATAATTCCACCTCCGCATTATCCATTACAACATAGGCTTGTCGTGGATGCTATGCGTCGTAAATTGGCTGATAGGATACTCTGTGATACTTGTCCAGATGAAGTAGTTGTAAGCATGCTTCCAATTGACATAATACTGCTAATGAAATATATTTAATATATAAAGTTAATTAATTTTGAGATGATAACTATAGGCAATTGTACAATGTTGCGCGTGTTTACGCAACTTTTGTTCTGATTGTGGTAACGAGCACGAAGAACAAACAAGAATGGAATTAAAACAAGGCAAACATATAGTAAAACCTCTCTGGGAAGCAACGAGAATACGTCGCACTATACTTTGTCAAATACATCCCTCAAATGCATTGCGATATTATTGCAATGCATGCCAACAGGTTTTATATATCATTTTATTCTATATAAAAAAGAAATATATTTATTTATATTTTTTTAGAAATATCGAATACTCTAAACATTATATTTCTAGATATGTTGCAAAGAGTGTATCTGGAGTATAGAACACAGAGGACATGCTAGCGAAAATGCTATTGGTGCTGGAAGAAGAGCCGCCGCGTATTTAACAACAATGCTTGAAAGAGCAAAAACACTTTTAAATTCTTTACTCATATGTTACAGCGAAGATGTATTTTCCAATGATATATTTAATGAGCAAGAACATTTCATTGATCAATGGTACGTTAAATAACAATTGTACATACATTCCTTGTATCATAAACAAATGTGTTTATGATATTTATTTTTATATATAATAATTAAAATATATTTGATAAATTGTCATGTGATTTAAACGATGGGATGAAAAAATATCATTGTTAATTATAAGACTGTCATTTGAGGTACAGTTATGCAATGTCCTAGCTTTTAGTACTTGCAAATTGTTATGAATAACAATTATATATGTATATATGTAAATTTATAATGAAAATAATATGTATTTATACACTTACATATAAAACATAGATAATAATAATTAATGTAATAATATTATCTATCAGAAGTACTCGCAGCTAATATCTTCAACCAAATATCGACAGGACATACAGTAAGTATTACAGTAAAAACTGGTATTTATATCTTCGAGTTATTAAACAACATCCATCTCGTAAAAGTGATCCACAGCAAGACCAATGATTAGAACCAGGGTGACCAACATGTCCATGTCCACATCCATGATATCCACCTTTTATTAAATCATCTTTTTATATATTATTTATCATAACACAATATTAACACGTTAAGTATCGAGCCTTTTTTATTAAACTTTTCATTTAGGCCATGATAATTTGTCAGCTGTACAAATACATGCCTGATCACAAAATATATTATTAACTACTATTGACCCATATGGCACTTAACGTGTTAATTACATATAGATTAATTTGTATGTATAGATTAATTTGTACCAGGAATTTTTCCTCCACAGGCACAGACAATATCTTTTTTTCCACCACTCGAACAAAATGTACAGCAATGGTAAATACCGTCGTGTCTTTGATTCAATAGAAATAATTTGTTCTCATTATAGCCAATATCTATAAAAAATTATTGTAATTTTTCCAATCATTTTCTATTCCTTCTATTATTCATTATTTGTTTATTTTTATTATAAAATAGAAATAGATTACCATTTTGTTTGTTTTCCGAAGAGTCTGGGACACCTAAAAATTTCAATCTTCTTGCAATGACATTAACGAGACTCAATATTTCAATTTCTGAGCTATCCACAAATAATTCATTAATAAAAGATATAGCGTCTAAGATATGTCGAGCCCTCCAGAGTCTAGCGTATTCCTGTATTCTCTTCCGAGCTTGTTTTGTCCATATAGATACATGATTTTGTGAGTCTGATTCATACTTTATTGGATCTTCAGAATACCTAAATAGAAAATCTTATATTATACTTAAATAAATATATTAATTACATAAGTTTAGCAAATAAATGATTAAATTGTCATGTGATATCTCAATCTACATTTTATGATTAATTTGATGTTGTCATTTGAGGTACTATTTTTAAAATTCATTCTAAAAGTTACAGGATTCAATTATTACATATATAATATACACTAATTAAATATTATATACAAAAATTGTTTTTGGTGAAAATTTCATTACTTAGAATATTAACAGAAGTATAATTCGAAGGACAATCAGAAACCGTATTAACAAAACACCACGTTTGATAAAACTTCTAATTAAATATTAATAAATAAAGCTAATTATAAATAATGCACTTGTACCAGTAAATTTTATTAATTTTAATCAAAATGTAAAACACTCAAGATGGTGTGTAGATCTCAAGAATAAAATGTAATATTAATTAAAAATATCTCTTATAGGTGGCACTAGGTTAAGAAAACAATATGAAGCTAGATGTTCCCCACGAAATTTAAATTTACAAATTAGTATGTAACATTAGTATGTATTACATTTTTGTCTAGATTTATTAAAATAATGTAATATTAATAATTTAATAATATAGAGTTTATTATTATAATATAGAATAACTAAGATAAATAATGGAAAGAGTAAATTATTAATAATCATTATTAATGATCCATGCTTAAAATTAATTAAATATAATTAGCATTAATCAAAGTTAATAAAATATTTAGTTAAAGCTACAATCAAAAGCTATCATCAAGAAATCTTCAAATCCAATGGAAATAGTTCCTGTTCTATCCGTATCTCTACTTTTGAACGCACCTGTAAGACAACGATTACTAAAATAATCATTTTATGACTACAATATTTACTGATAATTTTATAAAAATGTATATTTTTGTCAACAGCTGATACAATAATTCTTTTACCTGTAAACTTTTCTAGTTGAATACAAAAAACAATAAATTGATCGACACTCATACTTTGACCGTTAATGGGATCACATTTCTTAATAAGAAATTGAGCAAATGTAGGACTAACTTTATAACCCATTTTTTCTAATACCGCATTTAATTCATATTCCTGTATACTTCCAGACTGGTCGAGATCAATATTACGTAGAAAATCAATCCAAGAATTGATATATTTAAATACCTCTTGAAATTCTTGTAAATCTAAAAAACCACTTTGTTTTTTACCAAACATACCTGCAATATGATATAAAAAATGATTATCAATTACTGTACCAAGTATTTTAATACACTTTAAGTATATATTATTTTTTACTCACTGATCATCAGTCTACAAGCTGATTCTGAAAAAGTTCCACCTTTTCCATTAGCTAAAGCCGCTTTTAATTCAGTTGCTGAAATTTGACCACTTCCATCTCTATCAACTAAGACAAACCATTGTTGCACCTCTGGTCTTATTAAACCTTCTGGTTCATACATTTTGCCTATAAATTAAAAAATGATCTATGAACCGTAAGAAATTGTTTAAAGTTTAAATATCGAAATGATTGTTCAGCAATGAACTTACGATACGTCTTTACTGGATTATACTGACTTCAAATTATATTCCTTTTATGCTTTAATTACAGATCAGATGATGACAATAAAAAGAAATATAATTACTGTCACGCACTTATTAATTGCAACATTGATGAATGCTTTGAAAAAAGTACCTGCTGCAGCGTCACATACAACAATACATTACGCATGTAAAATAAACTACATATAGATTTTACTAAACTAATGCACCAAATGTAGACCAATTAACCTTGAAAATACGCGCGGGAAAATCTTGAAAAACAAATTAAGAAGGTCACTGAATGATTGCATAAAAACTAATTACAAACTTCAAATTTTTATTTAACTAAAAATATTTTTATTAACAAATATTATATTTAACATATAAACAATTAAAATCTTTGTTAATACAATCTTATGTTTTATGTATAATCTCTGCGTAGATTCTGGCCGCGATTTACATGAAAAATTTTAGAGAAAGCATTTGTCAATTGTAATTCAAATATATTTTTAATGATTAATTATTATTTTTAAACATTTCTAAACCTATATATATATCTTCTTCTTCTTCTTCCTCTTTTTATTAGAGCTTTGTCCTGTTATAATAGCTTTTTTTTTATTGCTACTTCTATATATATATATAAATTAAACATTTATATTTATTTACATATCTTTTTAATAATTTTCTCACGTATAAATGTAACATAGGAATGTTTAGTTAAGATCATAGAGAAGTATAACTTACATTTTTTTTTTTATTAATAAGAGAAAATACAATCAATTTTCAGCGAGAATTATAGGTAATTTATGCTAACGTGATACACAACATGAATTATAAATACAAGAGACGTTACAATGATAAGTGTAATCATACATCACTCTATTAGGATAATAAAATTATTAATTAGCCAAATCTTGTTTTTAAATCGGAAGGAAAGAATCATTTTAGTCTACGTACTAAATTAGTATTTTCTAGCAAATTTTTTGTTAGAAGGTTTGAATGTTTGGCTGAACGGGAGTTGTAGCATTCACTGAAGTTTGCAATTTCTTCTTTTATTGTATTATGTTAGATTTTTATGACTTATTTCATTGGTTACATACCAGAGGGCGTTGCAAATGTTCCGTAGTGTTTTGGATTGGAATAACCTACAAATTGAAAATTTGTTTTGATGAGAAAATTATTAAATTTTAGAATAAATTTCAATCAAGAAATAATTTAAACAGAGAATCAAAATGACGTCAATAATAAAACTTCATGCTATATCCGGAGCAATGGATGAGTCTCCGCCTTGTTACATATTGCAAGTCGATGAATTAAGAATCTTACTCGATTGTGGATGGGATGAAAATTTTGATCAAGATTTTATAAAAGAATTAAAAAGGTAAATAATTCATTTATATTTGAGATTAATATTAATATTACCTTTTTTTCTTATCTAAAACATTTAATTTGTTTACGTTGATTCTTTAGACATGTTAATCAAATAGATGCAGTTTTACTTTCATATCCAGATCCATTGCATTTAGGCGCATTGCCATATTTAGTTGGAAAATGCGGTTTGAATTGTCCTATTTATGCGACTATACCTGTTTACAAAATGGGACAAATGTTTATGTACGACATGTATCAGGTAATATCTTTTTATTAAAATATATTTAAATATTGGTTCATTTTATACAATATTAAATTCTTTTTTAGTCTCGTCATAACATGGAAGACTTTGATTTATTTACTTTGGACGATGTAGACGCTGCATTTGATAAAATAGTGCAATTGAAATATAATCAAAGCATATCAATGAAAGGTAAAGGCTATGGTGTTACTTTAACGCCTTTACCTGCAGGACACATGATCGGTGGAACGATATGGAAGATAGTTAAAGTAGGAGAAGAAGATATAATATATGCCGTTGATTTCAATCATAAGAAAGAACGTCATTTAAATGGATGCGAATTGGAAAGATTACAAAGACCATCGTTGCTCATAACAGATGCATTTAATGCCACGTATCAACAAGCAAGACGTAGAACTAGAGATGAAAAATTAATGAGTATGTTGCTATTAATACAATAATGGATTCCTTCTTAATGTTATTGATATTTATTTAGTAATTTATTTTTTGTTCTAAGCAAATATTTTACAAACTTTAAGAGGTGGCGGCAATGTTCTTGTTAGTGTGGATACAGCTGGACGAGTGTTAGAACTGGCACACATGTTAGATCAATTATGGCGCAATAAAGAATCTGGACTACTTGCTTATTCATTGGCACTTTTGAACAATGTCAGTTACAATGTAGTCGAGTTCGCTAAATCGCAAATTGAATGGATGAGTGACAAACTGATGAGGAGTTTCGAAGGGGCTAGAAATAATCCGTTTCAATTTAAGCATTTACAACTTTGTCATAGTATGGCTGAGTTAACTCAAGTTCCAAGTCCAAAAGTACAAAACAATCAAATATTTTTCTTTTAAAAAAATAATAAATAGCTTAAAATTATATTCATTACAAAATGAATTTTAGGTCGTACTTGCAAGTACTCCGGATATGGAATGCGGTTTCTCGCGAGAACTTTTTCTTCAGTGGTGTACTAATCCACAGAACAGCATTATAATAACAAGTAGAACATCTCCTGGAACACTCGCTAGAGATTTAGTAGAAAAGGGAGGAAACAGAAATATTTCTTTAGAAGTTAAAAAGCGTATTAAATTGGAAGGTATAGAATTAGAAGAATATTTAAAAAAAGAGAAATTAAGGCAAGAACAAATGAAACAAGAACAAATGTACGTTTAATATTGAATATATTATCTCTAATATTTATTACGAAATAATAACTTTTCTTTTTTAACTTTGAGAAATTTTTATCTCAGGGAAACTGCAGATGTTAGCTCGGAGTCTGAAGATGAAATAGAAGTAGGGAGTGGAAGAGGGAAACACGATTTGTTGGTAAAACAAGAGAGTAAGCCTGGTTTTTTTAAACAGAATAAAAAACAACATCCTATGTTTCCATTTATTGAAGAAAAAATTAAGATAGACGAATACGGTGAAATTATAAGGTAAAATGTTTCTGTTCGAATTTATGTTAAAAATTCTTTTAAACAATTTTATTACAATAATAAATTATTTCTTATATATCAGACCAGAAGATTATAAGATAGCAGAGACCATACCAGAAGTAGAAGATAATAAAGAAAATGTAGAGACAAAACAAGAAGAAACCATACATCACCCAGAAATACCTACCGATATTCCAACAAAATGCATGCAAGTTATGCGTACAATGACAGTCAATGCATCTGTTACATACATCGATTTTGAAGGAAGATCGGATGGGGAATCTCTACAAAAGATTTTAGCACAATTAAGGCCACGACGGGTCGTTCTTGTTAGGGGATCTAAAAAAGATACGGAAATATTAGCGCAACAAGCTCAAAGCGCCGGTGCACGCGTTTTTACACCTGCAAGAGGAGAAACGTTAGACGCTACGACTGAAACTCATATATATCAAGTAAAATTGAATATATGATAATAATTATAATAAAATCATTTATTGATATATTAAAATAATTTTTTCTTTTCCA